ACATACAAATCCACACACAGCGTCGGAAACGTCGGAAGTCGGATAAATTTTGGTATGGATTGGTTGTCGGATATATAATATATAATATTATCATTCATATATGACTAAGAAATAGTACTACTAATGTAAAATTATTCACTCCAGGAATAATTGCCAATTGATTTACGTATTAAAATCGAATATTGTTTTGAATTTGTGGTTTTAAGACATTAGAACGAATTAATTGCTTTTCAAATTCTGAAATTTTAATTCAATGATTGCCAAATATTTAATAGCTATTCATTTGTCAATTAAATTTTAAACTAAATGAATGTACTGTATTGAGTTAGCGATACCGGTATTTTCTTTTATAAATGACAACTTAGTTCCGAAAACTCGTCCGTACGCATGCTGATTAACTGGGATGGCATTCAGACGAAAAAAACCCATCAAAATTTTAATGGGTTTTTTCGTCTGAATGCCATCCAACGGCAAGCGACATTTTCATCGAAAGTTCTACAAGTTCGTTGTCGTTGACAATTATAATATGGCTGGAAGCCAGTACTGGTTGTTTTTCAGTGTAATTTTTTGTTTTGGACCAAAATTGTCGCTATCGTTATGTACTGCAATAATTGGTATCAATTTACCTTACAGAAAAAACACAAAAGTGCTGGCAAAATTCATTTTTATTGGGACCGGCGCTCTTCGTTGGGACCAATAATATTGGTCATGCTCGAGATTCATGATACCGGTACGACATGAAAGCAGTGTTTTGTACATCATCCAAGCAAAGCATCATAAGCGCTGATCAAGACTCGATGAGCTTTCGACGCAAGTCCACCGGTTCCTCGTCATCACTACGCAGCGGGACCAAGCCGTTTCTCAATGGTCAGACACTCGTGTCCTCTGGAATAAACGAGTTAGACGCAGCTTTGGGCGGTGGTTTGCTGTTGCGTACGTTAAATGTGGTGGAGACGTCCGTGCCCGTCTCTGACGCTACGTCTTCTCGTCTCGACTTGAGCTCCGGGTCCTCCGAAGCTCTGGCCATTGATATGCTACGATATTTTGTGGCTGAAGGCGTCGTCGACGGCAAGCAACGCGTTGCAGTAGTGTCCCCCGATGCGACGGCGTTTGTCAACGAGCAACTGCCGCTGGAGCTGAGCCTTGCCCAACGTCAAGTGAAGCAGCAGCTCGCAGACAAAGCGAAGGATGATGCACCGTTGACTATCGCGTGGCAGTATGGCAAGTACGACCAGAAGCAACAGAATCAGAAGCAACGGTTCTGCCACAGCTACGACCTGTCCAAGACGATGCATCGGGAGATGGTGGCGGCTAATGAGCCCATTGCCATCGATCCGTTGAGTTGGATAACGGGGACTGACGTTGGCGACACGTACGAGCGTATTTACCTTGCGATCGAGGAGCTAGCGCAGCAGCAGAAAACGGATGGAGACGGCCAAGTGTTGCGTGTTGGAATACTTGGGTTGGGATCGCCGTTATTTGGACCTCCTGACGCTGCGCATATGATGGCACTGTTCGGGTTCTTCAGAAGGCTGCGGGCACTGCTAAGCCAATCGACGGGTGCCGTGTGTCTTGCGTTGCTAGGTAGTGATGCGGTGAGCGCCTTCCCTGCTGCGTTTATCAATGAGCTTCGGCATCTGAGCGACTCCGTGCTGACGCTGAGTTCCTTTGCTGGCACGCGGGATCTGCTACCTGATGAACTGCAAGAGTTCCAAGGCTCTTTGACTTTGCTTAAACTGCCACGTGTGCATGCTCTGGCATGCCACGCACCAAGCAATACACGCTTCGGTGTCAAACGGGAGCGTCGGAAGCTGAAGGTGGAGAAATTCCACCTCCCACCCGAAGGCTCACGCAGCAGCAGCAATAGTTCCAGCAGCTGCGGCGGTAACACATCCAGTTCCGGTGGTACCGACCTGCTAGCGTTCTAACCAAGCGGTGAAGATAAATTTCGTGGTTGGGGCGTCTGTGGCAAAGCGGGTGGATAAATACAACAAGAAATACCAGAAAACACCCTCGCTTGTTACTTGTTATGGCTGACGGGTGCGCTGCGTTGCTTGGAATCGTCCGTTCTCGTATCTTGGTGCTAGTTGTCACTTTAGGGAGCAAACAAAAACCAGATCGCCACCACCAGGATAAAGAGAACGAGGCTTGCCACTTCACCACTCTCAAGTTTTAATTACTTCTCTAACTCTGATGGACTGGTTGAGCTGCAGGGAGCTTGCGTCGTCAAAAAATCGCCGCCTCGCATGTCCGTTAGCTGCTTGGATTCCGCGTTTTCATTCATGATGTCGTTGGTCTTGACTGGATCGAAGAAAATTGTAGAGTGCGGACAATGCGAAAGCGCTCAGAAGCTGAGTGACCATCACTCTTACTTCAACCATAACATGCACACTTCCTCACGAGAGTGCCTCCCATTTTAGTGACCTCGATGTTCATACGGTTGTTGCGCACCGCATCGCGGACTCCGAGTCGGAGGGCTTGGACGCCTCCGTCGTCGACGCCGCCACTGCAAACTATCCTCCTTGGTATCCAGCAGTTCAGTGCTGACCGATCCAAGCAGCGCATCGATGTCGAGCTGAACGAGAGCGACCTGACCGAGTCATTCGTGAAAGGCTCCGGTACGATGGGTCTTCTCCATGACGAACGTTTTCTGACGTCCACTGACTGACGCTGTTCAATTGCTGCGGTCAGGCAAAGGGGGACAGAAAATCAACAAGGTGCGCAACTGTGTGCTACTGACACACGTGCCCACGGGGCTACAGGTGCAGTGCCAGAAGACGCGATCACTGGACGGCAACCGCCGCGCTGCTCGCAAGCTGTTGCTGCAAAAGCTGGATGACCACGTGAACGGGGAGCTGAGCAAACGCAGCCAGAAGATCGACAAGCTGCGACGTAAGAAAGCAAGTCGCAGAGCTAAATCCAAGCAAAAGTACGCCAAGACGACGGAGACGAAGGAGGTTGAGGAAGGTGAAGCAAGTGAGGACCAGAGTGAGGACCAGAGTGATGACGAGGACAGCGATGGAGACGAAGAGTGCGACAACTTTATCGATTTAGAGGAGCACAGGTTCAAGGCGAAGAAGAAAACCAAGTAAGTACCGCATAGTCGCAGTATCGCAAGCGAGAATCACCGCTCGAAACACAGCCCACATCGATATCATCAGATCTTTTTCACGTTGACGCGTTGGGATGTTATCTCCAAGGCATTCCACTCGACGATAAGTGCTTATTGTCTACGTTATGTTCAAGAGTGAGTTAATTCGCTCCTTCACTTGATCTCTATTGTGCTGCAACTCCAGCTCGCATCGAAGCACTCGGAGATCCACGTTATCAGCGAGAGTTCTCATAGCTCTTGGTGACCGAGCGAAGTCTTTCTCGGTTGTCACTACTGTGACGCTTCCGTTGCTCCGCAGCTCTCGCACCCGCTCAAAAATATCGTCAACATCTCCTGATGTGAACGCATGGTGGTCAGGAAACGCTTTCAGCTCCACTCGAACCCAGCGAGCCAAACTCTCCATCACTTTTGTTACGGACTCGGGGTTACCAACTCCGCACACGATCAATACTGAGCGATCAACCAAGGGTAGCTTCTCTATCTCCACTGCAGCCTCAGTACCGTCACTCTTCTCTTCCGACAGTAATGTATGAGCTGGAATGAGCCCCACCACCTTCATCCTAGATGTAGCAACAATTGGATGCCGTTGAGGGTCCAACAGCGCCTTTAAGCTTGTCATCAACACTTTCAACTCTTCTTCAGCAAGTAGATTTGCGTGGTGTACAACCACTACATCAGCTCGTACCAATGCGTCACGTGGCCGCTCTCGCAGACTCCCACACGGAAGCAGCAGCCCGTTACCCAGCGGATGCAAAGCGTCTACCATGACGATCTCCAGGTCCTTGGCAAGTCTCCACTGCTGCAATCCATCGTCCAGCACCACGCAACTTAATGGCGCTGTGTCTCCTCCTAATTCTTTCACTTTAGCTGCGCCAATCGCCACACGATCAGCTCCCAACGCTAATTGACAGGCCGGGAACTGCTTGGCCAGCATCCGCCACTCGTCGCCGCCATACCCGCGACTTAGCAGCAGCGGCACGAGATCTTCCCGTCCCTGTTTGAGCACGTAGTCGATCAAAAACTGCACGAACGGCGTCTTCCCCGTAGCTCCAAAGGTGACGTTCCCTACACTAAATACGGGAATGTGAGGGGGAGCGATTCGCTGCACGTGACCTGTCTCCCTTCGACGCTTGCGGTCGATGATCCAGCCGTAGACGCGACTTAGCGCAGGCTGCTTCCTGTCCGCCAACACGTCAACCAGCCAACGAGACGAACGCAGCGCTGCCAACACGGAGCCGTGCCATTGCCGATGCCAACGGCGCCATACTTGCGCCATACTTGAACGAGAGACAAGTGGGAGATACGGACACCATCAAGATAAGCACCTCGTGTCGGATAGCAGACACACGTTAAAGATTAAGGACACCACACGCCACTACGAAGCTATTCAAACATTTATTCCTTCAAGTGGCCGAGCTAGTTTAGCCAGAACTCGTCCTTGACGCTAATCTCTCCTGCCTTAAGTTTCTGCCACCGCTCGTGTGTCTCCGCTACAATCTGCTTGGCGGCCTCTGCAGACGTGGGCTTCTCCTGAGAGAATACGTTCTCGGACTTGCCCTCTGGGATCTTGTACTTCTTGAGCCAATCTACCAGTGCGTCCAGCACACCAGGCTTCACACTCTGCAAGTCGCTCACGCTGTTAATCTTGTCAGCGTCCGCATCAGCGAGGGAAAGGGCCAGGATCTTGTGGTCTACTTCGCCCTGGTCAACAAGCTCGAGACTGCCCAGGATCTTGACAGGGTTCACTGAGCCCATAGCCAACTGCTTCGCACCGACCTCAATCACATCCAACGGGTCGTTGTCGCCTCCATTGCCACTCTGGTCCTTCACACTCGGATCTTCCCACGTCTGCGGGAACAGACCGTAGTTGAAGAAAGGAACGCCGTACAGATAGTCGCGTCCACGAGTACCGTTGTGTGTCGTGTCCTGCATGATCGGGTTGTACTTCTCCTCCTTGTTCACCTCCATCTTGTGCGCAATGCCCTTGGGGATCTCCACAATGAAGTTGTACGAACTGTTGTCCTTCGAGTCAACCGGATGTAGCGGAATGTCGTGCCACGGAGAGATCTTCTCGCCCTTGTTGTTCTTGAAGAGGAGCTTGTAGTCGGTGCGACCAAACGTGCCCTCGGACGAGAATGAACGAGACGTGTCCACGACAGGCTTGGAGAACTGTGTGGCGAACGGAATCCAGCGCGGACTGTTGATGTTCTGGTAGTAGTCAATCATAATGTCCCAGCCAGACTTGACCATGAAACCCTGAGGAACACACGTGGGCTTGTCTTCCCAGCCAGCAGGGATCTTGTCGCCCTCGCACTTTTGCAGGCCTTCACGAGCCATCTTGCGCATACGCGAGCCAGAAATCGAGAGGAAATCCTGTTTGCGACTGCTATCCATCGGCTTCATCTTGTGGTCCTGCACGTCGTAGTATACCTTGGAGAACGACAAGATGTTGAAGTCCTCCATGCCAGGAGCCATGTGCAGCACGAAACGGCCGTGATCGCCGGCATAGATATCGTCCTTGTCACCATCCGAGCGCTTGATACCAGCAGGATCGCGTCCAACAACGAAGAAGCTAGCACCAGCGTTCTTACGGCTCTTCGCGTGCCACTGCACCTCACGCGGTCCAGCGTAGATCATTGGAGACGGCCAGATAGCAAGCACAGTGCTCTCCTTGTCAAGCATACCGTCCCGCAGAATCGCCTCGTGTTGACGCACTCGCACATCGAGAGGAACATCGTCCTCTTTCGTCCAACCACCAAGAGGAGACAGCCACAGGACAGGGTTCTTGTATCCCTGAGCGATCAGTTGCTCACGGGCGTTGTTCATAAGGTACGCGTGACCAGCATGTGTCGGGTTTCTCGTCTGGAAGGCAAGCACCACGTCAGCGCCCATTTCTTCGAAGCGTTTACGGAGTTCGGTTGGGGTCAAGCGGTACTGGTCCAAGTCGTCGTTATACTTGATACGAGAGAGCAGCTCAATCTCACCACCCAGAAGATAGTCACCCGACTTGAGGATCTCAGCAATGTAGGGATGGCCATTGTCCATGGCACCGAAAGTGCGCGTGATACGCTCCTCCTTACGATGGTCGAAAACTTCGGGGTCGTTGAGTAGTGCGAGCTCTTCACCAGACGGACTAACCAGCACAACCTGCTTGAACTGGCCAATATGTTCCTTTGCAGCGTCGTTGATCGGGAGGACGATAGGCACAGGCATGTTCACACGTTCGCCCTTGGACACGAACTCACTGGAGTATTCAGAGAAGTTGGTGGGCTTGTGAAGCGCCAAGTTACCGTCCGTCAGGTTGTCTGTGTCGTACAGCACGCTGCTGAAGTGCAGCGATTGCAGATAGACACCTTCACGCATGAAGCCACGCAGAGGAGCAGCCCAACCTTCACCAATAATCTGCAACCAGTGCACGTCCTCATCGCGGAGAAGCACACGGGGCAGCTGGTCGTAGTTGTCTGGACGCGAGACACTCGGCTGATCGGGGAACAAGTTCGGGAATGTGGCGACAGCGTTGCCTCCGTCCGCCACAGCCACACCAGGATATCCACTAGGCGGTTGCTCTACACCAGTGAGAAGTCCTTCAGTCTCTAGTTTGTCCAGGATCATCTTGACTTCGTCTTCGAGCGACTGACTTGAGGCGTTGAGGTGGATCTCAGGGTTTAGTGGCTCCTCGTAGGGTGACGAGATGCCCGTGAAGTCCTTGATCTCGCCCTTGATAGCACGTTTGTATAGACCCTTGACATCTCGATCAGCAGCCACCGACACGGGTACGTCGACAAAGACTTCGTAGAATGGAATGCCCATCTTCTTGTGCAGCTCGCGCACTTCATCGCGACGAGCTCGGAAGGGCGACACGAGCGCCACAAGAGTGATAACGCCAGCCTCGGAGAACAGCGCGGCCATTTCTCCCACACGACGCACGCTCTCAGCGCGGTCTGTCTCGGAGAAGCCGAGGTCGCGGTTGAGGCCGATGCGCACGTTGTCTCCGTCCAGTCGGTACGTGTGCAGACGACGACGCAGCAGCTCCTTCTCAAGTGCGCGACCAACTGTACTCTTGCCACTGCCGGATAGGCCTGTGAACCATAGCGTGGCACCCTTTTGTTGCAACGCTGCGTAGCGCTGCGGACGCGAGAGCAGCGACGAATCGTAGTAGACATTGCGCTGCATGTCGAGCTTCTGCAAGCGCTGGTCCGCGCACACCTGGTCCACTTGTGTCTGGTTAGCCAGGTCGGACACCGCGATGACCGGTGTGTTGCTGTAACTGTGGGCGGGGCTGCCCACACCCGCGAAGAGAGCAATAAGCACCAGGTAGGGCATCACCACGAGCGCGGCAAGGACGAACTTCTTGACTAACTCGCGGCGCTCATCGTAGTCCGGACCGCGCGAGAACACGCGGCTGGCCGTGCCGTCATTGCACTCGAGGTCATCCTGCTTCACAGACGCGTACAGGGCGTCGCTCATGGCTGCGGTAGCGGGGTTCTTAAGCCAGGAAGCACAACACTTTGCTGCCTCTCGCGCAGATTAGCAAATGGCTCAGCGCACACAGGGCGCGGACAGATCTGAAGGGACCAACACTCTGTGACCTAAACCTAACCGGTGGTTTATGAAGTTTCTATGGAAGTTTGTATGGAGGAAATACAGAGACGCGACATACCAGTTAAGTTGACTATCGAAATGGCTTGACGATGTACGCCGCACACCGGGATGGCATGAGCCCGAATTTGCAGAGCGATCGAATGGCGCTGGCTGCCGTACACACAGAGCTGGCAATACCTTGACCTCTACGGCGGGATTACGTGGGCGAGCAGTCGGTGCTTGCGCAGTTGGGCGCGAAGTCGGCTTCCATTGCGTCAAGCAATTCTTCAATTTAAGTGGCAGACACAGAGCCAATCACGATGGTTATCAACCGTGCGTCAATTGAATTGAGCCCGGTTAGGTTGCTGCAACCGACCGTGTATCTCTTTATATCGTGTTTAAAATAGTGGAGGTTAGAATCGGTTGCCTTAGGCCTACTATCGTACCCGTTGCGTCGGGCGTGCCAGTCACGCCACCACCGGATTGATGACAGTTAAGCGCAGCTTGCGTTCATTGGCCCGCCGGAAGGTCAATATACTTCATAAACGGGCTAACATCGCTTCAAGATCGACCACTTCGACACTTGATGGTCTCACGTGTCGCGGCGAAGGTGTGTAGGAGAACTCGAAAGTGGTCATGATGGCGAAACGGGACCCAAGGTAGCGCGAGTTCTTCATCGTTACATGTGACAGCATTACGTGGAAGCCGTACAAAACCTATCAAAGGCTAAACGATGCTCACAGCAGCAACTCTTCAAGTATGGTCGTTGCGATCGCTCTCTTCTACGACGACGAATTTGTGCAACCGATCGATGATACCTGCATTGCAGCGGCCACAATGGCTGGAGGCATTGCAGTGGTTTGGCAGCTTGGCAGGAGCAGGGGCCAGGAAGACATGTAGTACGAGATTCCAGCTTTGGCACGATCTCTGATGATGGCTGGGAGGTGTTTGTGTGGTGATCGCGATGTGAATGCGTTGTGCTGTAGACATTCCACAGCTGCACTCGGCTGCAAACGAGCGAAGTGATCGTGTTGTGAAGCTACTATGCTAAGGTTTAAGCATGGGCTGGAAGTATTTGAGGACAACAATTGCTGTCCTTGAAGAGTCTACGGCTGCCACGTTTGCTTGATCAGGATCGCTTGAGCTAAGTGGACAAGTGATCGTTGCTGCCATCGGAATTGATCATCGCTACTCTCGTGACCACGTTGGTTCGTGGCAGGAGTTGGTATTTTTGGTGGTTCAGTGCTGTCAACATCACCGAAAGTGGATGCAGCCATCGCAATCTTGGATAAGGAGATGCTACTCGTACAAACAATCGCCGCTTGTCTTCGGAAGTTAGCAGGACTTACGTTGTTTGCTGTCTCCACCAGAATGCATGGTCCATTGTTGTGTTTGCCTCAAGCTTGGTATCTCAGTGTAGCTTTGAAAGCGCATGAGCCCACAGCCCGATCCATATACGTCTCAATGTTTGAGTCTAGTGCGGCGTCTTGGGCTTCGACGGTTTTACTTTTGCTGCCATTGCAAAAGCACTCATCACCAGACTATCACTGCAAATCGCTATAGCCGTCCTGTCGCTAGACAAAGGCAAAATTCTGCTAAGCTTACCCGTAACTGTTGACGCCACCACTAATCACGCTGCTTGACACTTATGTATCGCGAAGGAGTCGGGAAGCGGATGAAGCAGGTAGCGAGTATTCGAGGTTCTGACACCTCTGTTCTCGTTTGAGGTTGATGCTGTACCGACCTCAAGCGACAGGCACGAGAAAATTGAAAACTGTAGCAGCTTTCCAGCGCCCGAGCTCACTAAACTCAGCCCGCAAATTAGAGTCTAATCTGCAGACTGAGTTACTGTTTCCAGATCAACAGACGCGGCGGCATGGCGTAAGACTGATTCAGACGCAGCACTCAAAAGATTGCTTTTAGCGTTAATGGCCTCGGCGGCGCACAAAACTACAGTATTACGAAATCTTTTGGCATAATTGGCACCTACGATTTAGTTGAGTTGAGACCGATGTTATGCCGCATTAATTAATTCCTGGCCGGGTCAGCCATGGACCGCGCAGTGCGCGGTCGACTCGAAGACCTGCGGCAGGCGGGAAGGCCTGGTCATGCGATGTGGGGATCACATAACCAGCAAAAAAGAGGCAAAGCCAGATTGTTTCGGGCTCAGACTTGGAGCTCTGAGTCAAAGCTCACCAAAATTGGTAGCCAATGGTACACCACGCAGCAGTATGCCACGGTGGACACCCAGTGAAAATGTACGCAGTCATCTTTGGAACGTGCCTCGATAGTAGTAGAGCGTCTGGCATCGCGTTCCGCGTAGCGGCATTGGCAAAATTTACTGTAATCTTATGCTGCTTCGCGGAAACTTGCCACCGACCTCACAAGCACGCTAGGTTATCTGGAACCTGGCCATAAAGTATGGCATAATATCTTGGGCGACCAGCTGCTCGTCTGTCCCGTGCCCCACAGTCACTGCAACTTGCGCATGTTGCATTGAAGGTCCCATACCGATCTTCCCTGGTGGAGGTCGCTCGTGGTCATTCTCCAATTGCCCCGGCAGGCCGCAAACCACAGCTTCCTCCTCGTCCAAACTACTCAACACACAATGGGCTTCGCTCAAGACTTACGCGAGCTGCTGACTTGTATGTCGCTCGTGGCTGCTGTGGGCTACGTCACAGACCTGAAGTTTTATGCCGGTGTCTGCGTTGGTATCCAGTGGCTCTCGGCAATCTACGGTATCCCCAACAAGACTGAGAGATACTTCGATCTCACGGGCTCCACCACCTACGCCACCGTCTCCATGCTCGCCTACCAATACTCCGAGACGAAGTCGTGGCGCGACACTCTGCTCACGGCATTCGTGTGGCTTTGGTGTGTACGTCTCGGGTCGTTCCTGTTCTGGCGAATTTGCAAAGACGGCAGCGACAAGCGTTTTGCCGAGATCATCGTAAACCCGCTATGCTACCTGGCTGCCTGGAACATTCAAGGTCTTTGGGTCTTCTTTACGCTGCTGTCTACGCTGCTCAGTGTCGTACACGGCGTCGACGACCCGGAGGTCAAGCCGCTCGACATCATCGGCACCACGCTGTGGGTTGTTGGCTACATCATCGAGGTCACGGCGGACTACCAAAAGACCAAGTTCCGTCTCGACAAGCGCAACAAGGACCAGTTCATCCGCACCGGACTGTGGGGCTACAGCCGCCACCCGAACTACTTCGGTGAGATCATGATGTGGATCGGCGTCTTCTTAGTGGCAGTGCACACGCTGCCGAGCTTCGCACTGCAATGCGGTGCTGCTGTTAGCCCGACCTTCATGACGCTGCTGATTATTTTCCGATCTGGCATTCCGCTGCTTGAAGAGGACGCGGATCAGCGCTGGGGCAAGTTGAAGAGCTACCAGCAGTACAAGGAACAGACCAGCGTATTGGTGCCGATGCCTAAGCGCAAGCTACCCGAACCAGTCGAACCAAAGCGAGCCAAGTTCGCGTAAGCAACGCCAAATGTACATGTACTGTACCAAGTAAGCAGTCTAATGGTACTCTGTTCCTAACGTAGTAGTATATGTATACATGATTCATGCCTGGTATCTCATACTTTTTCGAAAAGGTTGCCAACTAACTCGAAAAAGTTGCCAATTCAGCACACGTCACAGATGTGTAAAAATAGTCGATTCTTGTTGCTATTCCTAGCGCGAGCTCCATGGTGATCACCTTCACTTCAACTCCCCAATTATCTCCATACTCCACGCGTACGCGTGCGCAGCAACCCCCTAGACAATTGCGCAGTGTCCAGCACTAATTTGAAGCTACTTGGGATGAGCAATCGCGCCAAGGCTGTATCTCTGTTGATCCGGGTAGGTCTATGACATGGATGAATTCTGCATCGCCTCTAACGATCTTTCACGTTGCAGGAGGAAGTGAAGAGTGACAAAAGACAAGCTGTGGTAGATGCTCTGACAGCCAAACTCACTGCGAAATATGCGAAGCAAGATCCGGCGTTCGCTTCCTCCATCGCCTCAATGGCCAATCGACTGTTGCTTCACTCGCAAAAGCGGATAATGGAGGCAGATATCGTGGCACTGGAAGCTGTGGTCAAGAAGATGAGTATGGAGCGCCAGAAACTCAAGCAATCAGGCACCACTAACGGCACTAACGGAGATAACAATGCTCGAGGAAACCATGCAGATGGGGTTAGAGCTACTGTAAGTGCTGGAGGCGAATCCGTAACTAGAGGCTCTCGAGCCAACTTGGAAGCTCTTAAGGAACAGGATGAGTGGGTGCTTCTCAACGCACTCACTCTTGTGGAGTTCGAAAGTGACCAGGAGAAAGAGAAGGCTAAATTATTGGAGAAGAAGAAAATGCAGAAAGCTTGGTTGGATGCTCAACAAAAGGAGAAAGCCAAGTGTCGTAATACGGAGAAGAAGATGAAAGAAGAAGCGTTCCAATACCAAGTGCAAGATATAAACAAATGGCGCGAGCAAGAGAGCGCCAAATTGCAGCAACAGCACGAAGGCATCCTCAAAGTCCGTCGCGAGCGAGACGAGCAGCTTCGACAGCAGAAACTTGCAGCGGAGCAACGTGAAGCTCAGCGTAAACAGGACGAGGCAGCTGAAGTGGAGCGTGTCCAAGCCGAGCTGAAGCGTCTAGAGGAAGACGCTCGTCATCGTCGCGAGACTGAACACGCACGTATGAAGAAACTGCAGGACGAGAACACGCGCGTTCAGAGGCAGAAAAGCCGAGCCAAGTTGCTGGAGCACCAGGAAGATGTGGAACTCATGGAGGCGTATGCGCGTCGATTGGCGAAAGAGGATGAAGATCGAATGCGTCGATTGCAAATGAATCTCCAACGTCGTGACCAGCGGATGGGAATTGCTGAGAGTTTACAGGCCCAGATGAGGCAAAAGGCATTGGAGGACGAACGGCGTGCTGAGGAGTATCAGAAGAAAAAAGATGCAGCGGACATTTTAGTGCAGCAGCAGAAGGAAGACGCGCGGTACAAAGAGGCACTCGAGCGACAGAAATTCTTGTTGGTGCAGCGAGCGCAGAAGAAGCAACGGGAGCGTCAAGAAGTCGAGGATGATCTAACGTTTGCTCGTCAGTATCACGCTGAGGGAAGAGCTGCGCTTGAGGCCCAACAACGGCATGTCCAAGGCATACGCCAACGCAACAAGAGCTTCCAGAAGAAGTTGATCGTGCAAATGGCCGAGCAGAGGCAGGGACAACCCATGTCTCCTCTGCATTTGCCTCGAACACTCATGAACAGCCGTGAGAGAAGCTTGAATGCCAAGCTGCTGCAGAAGCTGGAAGACCCGGACATGGGACAGAAGGTATTGGAAAAAGTGAGCCCTGCCAAAGAAGCCCCCGTCATCACGACTACTTTCTATTGATCAGAGCACGCAGGGTTTTAAACTCACAAAAAAATATTCGAAACGATTTCTCAAATGTCTTGAAGTCACAGTTATTGCAATATACATTCCATTTAGCTACACAATCTGTTGAGCAGATATTCTCCATCCGGCTCACACTCCACTTGAGAGCCCGACAGCCTGGTTGCCCTGTACATGCACGACTGGAGCACCGTATCCATGCTTCGCTACCAGTTCGTTGTAGTACTGGACGTGGCGTTCGTCCAGGAACTTCCGTAGGAAGATTTCCTCGTACCGCAGCGGGATCTGCACCGCTTCATTTCCAAGACACTTTGCCATCATGATTCTGTTGCGCAGGTCGTCAATGACAGGCAAGTGCTCGGCACAGAAGGCTCCGTGATATTTGTTTGTCACGTGGCTGTTGTTGCAGTCCACATAGTTACAAACTGTAGTTCGGCTCGCAATTTGGTCTCTCGATGGATCAAATGCGTACTCTGCAGCTTTCGCTGGATCAACGTATCGCTCTTTTGCCTCGAGCTGCACCAAGTGGACCCTGCACACAAGTATCTCGCCGTGCGGGTAACTTCCGTTCTTGTGACAGAGTCCCACTTGGCACAAACGCACATCTCTCTTCTTCGTGTAACGATATCTCACAGGTTGCGGTTTCCCTTCAACATGCGCGTCCAGCAGCAGCACCGACTGTAGATGGCGATGGCAAAAAAGTTCGTTGTTGTGAGGGCTCACACCCTGTTTCTTACAGCGAGGGAAGGCGCATTTGCAGCGTGCAGTGGGAGCAGGAGATGGCGGAGGCGGGGAAGGCGTCACGGATGGACGAGAGAGCTGCTCGAAGTGAGGCAAGCACAAGTGGCGGCGGTTGAACTCGAGCTCTCCTGGATTGGGGCAATTGAGGAGGACGCACCGAGGCCAGGAACAGTAGCAATTATTGCCACAAAATACTCTCTTGTTGAAGCGAAATGATAGACTGAATACATTTTATTTGCTGCTCTCTGATTGGATCATTAAGCTGAACATCCACTTTCGCGCCAGCTACCTGCTGCGCCCGACTAAATCCTCTCTTCCTTACAATTTTTAAGTAAGTTGTTGAACTCGTCCAGATGGTCGCAGTAGACCCAAATCATGAACCCAGATGGCCGTTTCGTTCAGTCAACCGCTCGCCCGCCACTTCGCCGGACGCTGTACACGACGCTGTCGAGTGCTCCCTGCAGCTCCCTGACCAGCGCCACACATCTCATTCGAGACGTCTGCGTCTTGCTACCCTCTCATAGTCTCTCCGTGTCACACCACTCTCTGTATCCCTCGCTAGCTACCCGTGCGCCATGGCGTGTCTAGGCGGCATTCGTGTGAACGTTGTAGAGGCGCGTGGCATCCTGGCGGCCGACATGGGCGGTACCAGCGACCCATATGTGACCATCACTCTGCTGGACTCCAAAGGTACCGTGATGCCTGCGGGTGGCACCTTCAAGACGAACGTCATCAAGAAAACGCTGAGTCCTCGTTGGGACGAGACGTTCGTGGTGGCCGATAAGCTCGATCTGCGTGTCGTGTCGACGCTGCGACTGCTGCTACGCGACTCGGACAATGGCTTCCTGAGCGACGCCGTACTGGGCGTCGTGGATATCCCTGCGTCGCTGCTTATTGAGCTCAAGGAGCCACTGGACAACTGGTTCCAGCTCACCAAGCACGAGAAGATGAAGAAGGACTCCAAGGGCGAACTCCGCGTTGTACTGGAGCGACTCGTACCCGAGGAGTCCATGGCCGGCAGAGGCACAGGAGTGAACATCAACCCCATGCTGGAGATGAAACCTTCGGCCGTGAGCAACGAGCCGCCCAACCTGCTCTACGTGACGCTGAAATCGGGCAACAATCTGCTCGGTATGGATAATAACGGCACAACAAGTGACCCTATTGTGTTTTTCACATTCAACGGACAGAAACACGAGTCCACGAAGAAGGAGAAGACGCTCAAACCTCAGTGGAACGAGAAGTTCGGCTTCTTCGCCCCCGACGTGAAGAACAATTTGTCCATTTTAGTGGAAGATTATGACGTTACGATCAACGACTTTATGGGCAAAGCAGACGTGTCTTTAAGAGATCTACAGCCCAATGTGGAGAAGAATATCACAGTGGAACTGGGCGGCAAGAAGGGCAAGAAGGACAAACAGGAGCGGGGATATCTGTTACTAACACTGTTATGGACGTACGATAAGGACGCGCGGGATATCGCAGCGAAGAAGAAGAAATCGACCTTTTTACCGAACTTTGGAGTGCCCGATCAAGACTACGACTCGGATGATAACGATGGCGTGGAGATTGACGACAGTGCTGCCAATAAAAAGTCAGAAGAAGAACTGAAGAAAGAACGAGAAGAGAAAGCGGAGAAGCAGGCGGCGTTAATGTCCGAGTTGAGCAGCTTTGAGATCAAATCGGGTGACTACAATGTGCAGGTTCACGTCATTGAAGCGCGCGACCTGGTGCCCAAGGACTCCACTGGAACATCCGATCCAGTCGTGTATGTGGAAGTGTTTGGAGAGAAACAACAGACTGCCGTGAAGAAGCAAGTGCTCAGTTGTTTCTGGGACGATCTACTGATCTTCCCGTTCCGTAACTTGGACAAGTCTGAAGTCGAGATGGGTTACGTTCGCTTGAGTGTCATGGACGCCAACACGTTCCAACGAGCGGAACTCATCGGCGCCGCGCAATTCGATGTGTCGTACATTTATTCTCAAGCGAACCATCAGCTGGCCAACGTCTGGATCGGTCTTACGGACATCGCGAACACTACAAACCAAGGTATTCAGGGATATCTGCGAGCTTCCATCTCTATCATCGGACCAGGAGACAAACTCGTGCCACCTCCGTCTCCATTCGGCGAAGGAGCGTCGTCAGACATGAACAACGTCATCATGCCACCCAGTGTCACTCAACACGTGCGCTTCTTAGGCGCCGTCATCCATGTAGCTGAACATTTGCCACCGATGGATGTTGCTGTGGTCGGAAGAGGTGGTCTGGATGCTTACGTTAAGGGGTCCATCGCTGGAGGAGACGCAATTCGCACCCGTGTACGCACTAAGAAAGGTCGACGAGACGAGCTCTGTCCGAGCTTTAATGAAGAGCTGATGCTGGTTATCCGTGAGCCGTCGATGGCTGATTCCATCCAGTTGGCTGTGTACGATTGGGATCAAGTGGGATCAGACGAGTTGGTGGGGTATGTGTACCAGAGCGTGAAGCTCGTCAAGGCGATGGGTGGGAAGATCGGACCGTTCTGGGCCAATATCTACGGCGCTCCACTGCGCCTCAAGTCGGTTGGGATTGGCGACTCGATGAAGAAGCAGATGAACACGTATCCTGACATTGCCAGCACCTACCGCGGTCGTCTTCTCATTACGCTGCGTGTATTGGACAATGACGACAACTCGTTCGACGAAACGAACCAGAAGCGCAACACGAAGCGCATTCCTCGAGATCTGTACCCTCGAGAGCGCATCTATCGACTGCGAGCGCACTTTGTATGGGGCAGCCAGATCCCGTCGTTCATGAGCTCCAAACGTCCCGGACAGAAGGCCAAGATGCAGCTGGTGATGTCTTGTGGTCTCAATGAGATTGCGTCGTCCCGGAATCGTAACGTGAACGGGACTGTGGAGTGGAATAACATGGAAGAGAGCGAGAAGATGTTGCTCCCCGAAGATCTGTCTCAAGTGCCTGATATCTTCTTGTATCTGTGCAGAGGAGAGGGAGATACCCGCAAGGCTGTGTGCTTCCGTCGCTTTACTGCAAAGGAGTTGTTCGAGGGCCGTCCAGCTCGCGATAATGATACGGGTTTTGCTGGTGGATTCAACAATGAAGTGGACTGGATATCGATGAAGGAAGACCAAGCTATCGACGCATTAGAGGACGAGACGTTCCCTGGTAATGTGCTGGTACGTATGGGCTTTGGAACGGAAGAAATGGCGATGCAGACGGCATGGGATCGCTCCGACTTGGACGCAGTGAATAAACGTATCCCGTACCAGTTACGTGTGCACATTTATCAAGGTCGACGACTCCCTCCTGCTGACTCCAATGGCCTTTTGGATCCGTTCCTGGTTGTTCGATGCATGGGGGAGGAGATGCTGACTTCCAAGAAGAAGAAAACGAGAGATCCATTGTGGTACGAGACGCTGCACTTTGACGTTAACTTACCAGAACTCAAGTATGCACCTCAAGTGATGCTGCGCGTCATGGACTACGACGACTTTGACTCGAATGACTTCGTCGGTCTAGCTGCTCTCAACCTCTCAGACGCAGTGATCCGGTCGTCAGATCAAGTGGCTGGCGAGCACCAGCCGTCTCTCCCAGACCCTCAATGGCATCGCATCATGTTCCAGGAACCCGGAGACTGTGAAGGTGAAATCCTGGCATCTTTGGAGCTTATCCGCAAGCAATTTCCGGATGAAACAGTGCGACGAGCGCCGTCCATTGTACCGAGGAACCGTAAGGCGTTCTTGGAGATCACCGTCTTGGGTCTGCGCAACATGGAGCCGTACCAGTTCTTGCCTATTCAACTGCCATTTGTCGAGTTCGTTCTGGGTGGTAAGGACCACGCAGCACAGGAAATGATCACGGAAAAGTCCAAACGTCCGTCTGGGAGCAACCCCAACTTCCTGCAGCGTATCGTCAAAGAGGTTGAGTTGCCTGAGAACGCGCACTTTGCGCCCCGATTGAACATTATTGTGAAGGACACTCGACTCGGAGGTTTCCAGACGCCCATTGTGGGCTCAGCGTCAATTGAAATGAGCTCCAAGATCCCGTGGTCCAAGCATTATCGTCCGCCACAGAACGATACGCTGGCTGAGATTGAGCTGGAATCTGCAGACGAATGGGGAGACGACGCGCCTCTATTGGGCAAAGTAGTCAAGCCGGACGACTCGCCTGGAATGGAGTCGGTGGATAATGGTGCTGGAGTCTTCGGGGCGTTGAAGAGTATGGGCGTGGACTTTGATCCTAATGGAGCCTTTGAAGAAGCCTCGTCTAGACACTCGACGCTGGCTGGAGAAGAGGACGATCCGGACTCAAAGAAATACTTGAAACACCGCGAATTACTGGACGGTGATCTGGAATCCGAGCTTAAAACAACCCCGTTCGAGAAGTATGGACTGCATATTGGCCAGAAGAAGAAGAAATCGTCTCTTCTGGCTGCGATCAACCCGTTCGCCAAGAAATCTCGAGGTGTTGGAGACGATGTGGGCATGTACAAGATGGCTGGATACTTCAAGGGGTTGATCCGAGTCATTGAACGAGAGGATGAAAAACCGCTGTTCGACTTTGATACATTACTCCAGACTCTCCCGTATGAAGTGCGTGTGTACGTCTTGGACGGCGTGGGCTTTGCTCCGATGGATATCGGATTGAATGGCCGTCCTGGTAAATCGGACCCTTATTTGCGCTTAAAACTGGGAGACAAGAAGATCAGCGACCGCAAGAATTACATCGAAGACACGACGGACCCGGATTTCTACAAGATGTTCATGTTTAACGCCAAGCTCCCGGGTGCCAGCATCTTGACGATCGAAGCGATGGACCACGACCTCATTGGAGGCGACGACTTGATCGGAAAGACCACGATTGACCTCGAAGATCGACTGTTTGACAGGAGATGGCAGGCCATGGGCAAGATGTACGAGACGTCCAGTCGACTGCGCTTGAAGCCACTGGAGACGCGGACACTGAACATCCCGACGTCGCGAGCACCGATGGGTACCGTCAAGTTGTGGGTCGACATTTTGAGTCCTGCCCAAGCGCACGACTATCCAGCGATCGATATTTCGTTGCCTCCACCCGTCGATATGGAGCTGCGCGTGGTGGTCTGGAAGGCGCGGAATGTGCCGTCATTTGACACGCTGGAAGACATGAATGATCTGTTCTTCCGCTGCTGGATGGAAGGATCGGATTACCAGGAGACGGACATTCATTGGCGTGCGAAGAAGGGCAAAGGCTCGTTCAATTGGCGGATGAAGTTCCCAATCACGCTGGGTCATAAGCAAACCAACACCAAGATCCCGTACTTCCACATCCAAGGCTGGGACAAGGACGTGCTGTCTGCTAACGATGCGATCGGAGAGCACACGTTGGACCTTGGACCGTATTTCCGTCGCGCTTACAAGCTCAAGTCGAACGTTCAAGTGTATGAGGATGACGAGGAGACGAGGAAGAAGAAGAAGAAGGCGTCGTCCGATGATGACGCGGCGGTCAAGAAGATCCGAGAGGCGACGGGACTCTGGGATGAGGACGACCCGGCGGATTCCAAGTGGCTGAAGCTGGAAAGTCTCGACCACAAGACGAACACTCGAAACTTCATGGGCGAAGTGTGTGTGTCACTCGAGTTGGTTCCAGCGGAGAACGCGAAGAAGAATCCCGTGGGTCAGGGCCGCTCTTCGCCCAACAACTCGCCGTATCTGCCTCCTCCGGCTGGACGTTTGTCGTTCTCGTTGAACCCGTTCAAGGTGCTCAACGATCTACTGGGCCCTTCCATCTGTCACCGACTTACATGCTGCTTCTGCTGCATCCTGTTCATGGTGCTGGTCTATTTCTTGGCTCCGTTCATCAATGTGGCCATCATTACGCTCAAAGGATAAGAGAGATCGAGTGGTTGGCCTGCATATTGGTCGTAGTAATTGCTTGAATACCTATTTGGTTGTTATTACAACGGTTTTCTATAGTTAGGGGGCTTTTGAAGAAAATTCGTTGTAGTTTTGCAGGTAGTTAGTTGGTGATGCCTCGCTATCGAGTTGGGGTGGAGGAATTAGAGAAGAGTGAGGAGCCACATGACGAGGTGTCACCTAGTAGACAGAAGGCGAGTGTGTCGACTCCGACGGAAGCGGCTAAGGCACAGCGACAGAAGGAGCTTTTGAGGAAGAAAAAAGTGGAGAGAAGAGCGAGAGCTGCTGAGAAACAACAACGAAAGGATGAAAAGAAGCAGAAGCGAGAGTTGGAAAAGATGATGGAAGAAGATGTACCAGCGGTTGATAGAGTTGAGTCGCTATGTGCTGCTGAACCTGAAGAAGTGCGGACATTGGAGGCGAGTACTAAATCACTGAATGAGGCTGAAGACATAATGAGTGAAAATCTAATCGTGAGGCCGTTGGAGGATTCTACCAATTCAACGACGATCGAGATGCTACCGAAGAAATTGAAAGAGCCTTCTCACGATTCGGCAGCGCTGACAATCCAGAAGGCTCTGAAGAAGAAATTCAAGAAATGTAAAACAATGTTTCGACAATCTCCCAGAGTCTTCGCTGAGGAAGTTGTTAATCCACCACTAGAAGAAGTAGAACCACCAAGCACTTTGGCCACAGATACTGAACTTGGTCCTCCGATCGAAATTATCACGACTGCATTGCCATTACCACAGCCTGAGGTAGTTATTCCTCCATTGGACCTACCTCAACTGAAGCCGTCCACCTCACCACGAGCTTCCTCATCTTCGAGATCGTGTTCCTCGTCCTGTTCCTGTTCATGTTCTGATCCAGGATCGTGTTCCTCGTGCTCTTCCTGCTCATGCTCTTGTTCCTCCAGTTCTAGTTCATCCGAGACAAATAGAAGCTTTCAGCGTCGAAGATCTAATCGTACAGCTCGACCTCCACATGACCACAGAAGAAATAGTCGTCAACACACTACACGATCTTCTCGAAGACATACTCTCAGTCATAGCGGACCTTCCTCTTCGTTATTACCAGAGTTTGAGGAGAAGAAATATAGCGATCTGCATCACTTCATGGCGATGAGGATCCAAGCACTTGTACGTGGTTACCATGGACGAGTAAAGGCACGACGACGACAACTTGAACTGGACGAAGAGATCCGAGACGAAGCTCTTCACGAGTTACAGCAAGAAGCTGTCGTCAAGATTCAGACCAGAGCCCGTGGAGTCCTGGTACGTAAGAAGATGCCGATATCTGACAAGGAGAGGCGACGGCGAAGACGAAAGCGGTCTCAACTTCAGTCCATGTCACCACCAAGACCTGTACATGGAGACTCGGACGAGGAACATGGGATTTATTCTGATCCAGATGAGGTTGGCGAGTGGCCACAAGAAATCGACTTGGAAGTACTGGACGACTGGCAGGATTTGAATCAATCGGCTACACCTGGTGAGAGTGTGACGCAGACTCAATTCCTTTCTAGGGGTAGACTACGAGTGTTTTGTGGCACCTGGAACATGCATGCCAAGAAACCCACTGATGACTTACGTCTCTGGATTCGGTTAAACAAATATCACATTGTGGCAGTGGGGAGCGAAGAATGTGTGAACTCAATCGCGAAAAGCGTCGTGTTCACATCTAAGAAAACCTGGGAAGATCAGTTAAGGAACACGCTGGGAGAAGACTACATTCTCGTGGCGTCGCATGCCCTCACGGCGATACACAATGTCGTGTTTGTACACACAAGTGTCTTGCCATTACTCGGCAATATCCGATCAGATGCTGTCGCGACGGGACTTGGCAATCAGCTTGGCAACAAAGGAGGCGTCGGAATCGCCTTCACTGTGGGCTATACGAGCTTCGCCTTTGTCAATTGTCACTTTGACGCACATCAACGCAACGTTTCCAAGCGGAATGGCAATTTTCATCGAATCAACCATGAGCTCAAACTCTCGCCTTCAGCAGCTACGTCGTTATCCTTGACAAACGAAATGGCTGTGGCTCCACTAATCCTTGGCAGTCCTAACAGTAATGGACTACAAGGACTCGGCCGGACATCGGTGAATCGATTCTCCATGCCGACGGTTGTTAACGGAGTCTCAGCTGGTTCAAAACGCACCGTGAGCGAGATCTTCGACCGGGTGTTTTGGTATGGTGATCTCAATTACCGTATTAACGGTACTAGACGTATGGTCGACACTCTGCTGCTTCGGAATCAGTACGAAGTGCTGTATGCGAACGACCAGCTGCAACGCGAGATGAAAGTTGGGAATGTGTTTCCTCACTTTCGAGAAGGTCAACTACACTTTCGACCCACGTACAAATTCGACAAACGCAGTGATGTGTACGACACGTCCTCTAAGCAGCGTATACCTTCCTGGACGGATAGAGTGCTGTATCTGTCGAATGATAAGCTGCATGATATCGAGCTCCTTAGCTACCGCAGCCAATCAAACTTTCGCACGTCGGATCATCGACCCGTGTGTGCCACTTTTCAAGTCAATTTCAGTGCAACAGGAGTCGCAGATTCACTAAAATCGCCCCGTACGAGTGGAAAATCTGATGGCAATCATGTAACCAGTCAAGCGTGCTCTATACAATAACAAAAATAAAATATTCACATCAAATTGCTACCGTACTAATAACAAAGGACTCGTTTCATTTGTTTCTCTCAGATCTTTATAACGCTCGAATCGTCATCACTGTGCGTGTCATCCTTTATAAAAGTATTCCAAAGCCCTGCTAGTTAATTTAAATGGCTCCATTCGTACTCGTCTAGCTACGCAGCGATCGGTGAGGACGCTTCAGCTTCGCGTTTCCCGGGCAGAAAGTCACATCGACGTTGGGTGTAGTGTTGGGGCAAGCGTGGGTTTTACTATTGTCGCCTGGGAAGTTGTAGGCGTCAGAGCATCCGTCGGCCAAGCAAGTGATTGCAGCGCATCCGGACGGAGCAATTTGAATCGGGGTGTTGAAACCTACGCCACCGGTGACTCTTTTGCAATCGGCCAGAGACGAACATTGTCCAGGCTAAAGATTATGTCGTGACAGATTAGTGTATAATTGGGTTGAAGCATTAAACATAATTAAACATAGTTTCACTTACCCCGCTCTGTGGACTCGTGGGAATAATACTGATGTCATACCACAAAAATCCCCACGAGACCGAGAATTCGGCAACTGTAATTGACCATGCAACAAATGGAACGTAAGCTACGAATTTCCAATCATGCGAGATAGAAGACAATAATACGTACGAGTTGCCTGAGGGTTCATCCCATTACGAAACATGCCGCTAAAGCCTTCTTGGAGGTCTCGAGTGCTGCTTCTTCCTGACTTGATTGTCTCTGTGTATTCATTGTTGTACAGACCAATACTGGTGGCGCAGTTGTTGTGGAAAATAACTGGAATGCCGTTCACAGTCGCAATTGTCGCACCCAAAATCGTCATCACAAGCGTGTAGAGTTGCATCGTGAAAAAGATGAGGAGGAGAAAGCGCTTACTGCATCAGCTGAAAAATGAAAAATACACGAGCACCTTGGAGCCGTGCAATACTACCATCATTGTAACTTACTGAGGTCGATAAGACTGGAAGCACTGAACGTCCTCGACCGTGCTCCTAAAAATGGATGAGATCCTCTGCTGCACTACAGGTTTAACAAATGCTATTTTGTGGTCACGAGCTACTGCTGATTGAAAAATACTCGTAATTATAGGAACACATTACACCATTTCAAGGGTCAAATTGAGAGAAGTCGATTTCTAAATTGAGAGCCGACAAAAATCAAAGTGTACAAGAAACGTGTGCAGAGCCCTGTCTACTAGCACAGACGTGTCACTATAGAGTGGTCGAAGGAATGTTTCTGAAGAAAAAATACGTATTTGGAGGTGATTAGGATGATAATAAGACCATAAGAGATTACAGGTAATTTGACTTTGGCGGCTCTCAATTTGAATCGTGACTTAATCGTGTACCTGGTACAAGAGACCTGAGATTACGTACATGTAAAATTACGGACAAGACTGTTTACCACGAATCTATAAGAAAGATTGAGATTCTCGAGGATTCAACTTGAACGAACATACTTCCACAACTACGAATCGCAATTCATCTCGAATTGTAACCTAGGTTGTTAATTTTGCTTCATAAAATAATTGTCATGAAAGTGAGATTTGACCGCTAAAATCGCGAGAATGGTCGGAAACGGGTCTCATTTTCATAGTTGCCTTAAAAAGAAGAAATGGCGTTGAGGTGATACCACGCCTAAAAACAGAAGTAAACCCGAGCCTGAGTTCTTGAGGTTTAGCTCGAAGTGGTTAATTGCGATATGATATTGCAGTGGGTCCAAAGCCTGTGGACTCACAGACTTGTGGGTCAAAGCAGGGCACATGAACCTTGAGAACCATGTTTGTGGTAGTTATGAGCCTCGGCTAAGACGAACTTAAGCTTTCATGTGTTCGCAAGTGAGCGAACACGTGAAACGGTGGCGAACCTGTTCGTTCTGCGAGCGACAAGCGATGGCTTCATGTGTTCAGTGAGGCAACACGGCCTCGTAACGAACATAATGGGTTGAACTAGTCGCTTCTGAATTTTCAACTAGTCGCCTCTTATGTAGCATTATACTTGTGCCTCAAGTCCTCAAACATCACATACCCTACATACACCGATCTATCAAAATTGAAGGACGTCGCAAAATGCTGTCACCCCAACGGGTTACTTTGTTACGTGAAACTTCATGAATTTCTTGAGTGGCCGTGCTTTCCGCTGTCGATACGTATGATCTGCAGCAATCGGAGCATTATCATCTAGTCACGCATTTGGAGTAGTCATTTAGTCGCGAGTATTGCTCGGAACATCCGTCGTAGCAGACTTCGCAGCTGTCTGTTAATTGTTCGAATTCCAGGAGGTAGCGAGAATGCAACTACGTAGAGTAGCGACACTTGAAACAATTCTGATTACCGTACGATTTACCAGTATAGAAGTGGAAAGAAACGACTGACGATGGAGGCGACAAGACAACCGACAGTGATAACCCAGATCGCATCACTACATGAATATCGCGAAACGAGAGCAACACAGCATAGCCCGAGAAACAAAGGAAATAATACGAATTAATAACGGGTTTGCATTGTCTTCTGGATATTATTGGGCATACGTGTACTGATAGCAAAGTTCCTTTTTAAATTTTGAGGCAGACGAACCAAGAAGACTACTAACAAAGTAGGAAGTTTTTTTTGGCTCTGACTGCAAAAGGTCACGATCAAACATTTTGAGCGGTCATCATTAGCTTAATCCTCAGTAGATGACTTTTGTTTCACGAGAACTTGCCACTGCATTACCAAGTCCAGAAACGAACGTTGCAAATGCACTCGATGGGTACACATGACTTCACACATCCAACAGCGCAGGCTCATTATTGATTTCATTGGGAAGCACACGCAAGAAAACGTCGTCACAGAGATCAAGATGCCTCAAATCGTCATTGACACTTTAGATGTTACGATTGGGATTGCCGGAACTGTGTCCCTGATGCTCGGCTCTGTGGGTTTCGGTGTATTGTTCGGGATATTCTATGATGTGTACGCTATTTTCTGGGCTCCCACGAGTGCATGCCTCGTCGCAGCTATCATCAGTCGCATCTCAATCTATTGCGTCAACGATAATGTAGCGGGGATTATCACGTGTGCTCTAACTTCAGCTATCAGCATCAGTGCATGCATCTTCACTTCCGTGAAGATGGAACTAATCTATCGCGACGTGGGCTCTGTAATAACGTTAGCAGGAGTCATAATCATCATATTCACAGTTATCGAACTCGGAATTGTCTTAATCATGTGGAGAAAACGACTCAAGAACAAAATCGATATCAAGCACGACATCCTAGTAGAAGACGGCGGGTCCGATGTGATTGGTGCACGCTACGAATACCATCAGTCCCCTGTTGCTAACACCAGCAATGCAACTTTTCATGAAACTCCCACGACGCAACGCACTGCCTCTCGTAATACTCGTGATCGTTCACGTAACAAAGTGAACCTTTGGGATGACGATGTGATAACGACAGCGCGAATTCCAAAAGACAAGATTATCATGGAGAACCTGATCAGTCAAGGAGGGTACGGGGAGGTGTACAAAGGAACTTTCAACGGACTCTCAGTCGCAGTTAAGAGGATGTTGCCAGCACACCGCAAGAGCGTCGCCCACGTCAACAACTTCTTGGCTGAAGTCAAACTAATGGCTTCGCTTGAGCACTCTTGTATTGTTGAGTTCGTGGGTGTCGCGTGGGATGCGCTTAGTGATGTTTGTGCCGTTATTGAGTTCATGGATGGTGGGGATTTGAGAGGACTGCTCACGTCGTATCATAATCACCACCATCCCGTTGGCTTCGACTGTGACAAAGTGAAGATCGCTCTGCATGTTGCGCACGCTCTCACATATCTCCATTCCTTGAGTCCTGTAGTGATCCATCGCGATCTCAAGTCGAGGAATATTCTACTCACATCGGATCTAGATGCCAAGTTGACGGACTTCGGTGTGTCTCGCGAACGTGTAGACCATACGATGACGGCTGGAGTGGGTACGTCGTTGTGGATGGCACCGGAAGTTCTCATGGGAGAACGGTACGACGACAAGGCCGATATTTTCTCGTTCGGGGTGGTGTTGTCGGAACTGGATCTGCAGGTTCTGCCTTACTCTCATGCCACTGACAGCGATGGATCAGGCCACCGTATGCGTGACTTGGCGATTCTCCAGCGGATGGCAATGGGGAAGTTGCGTGTCCAGTTTTCGTGCGACGCATTGGCGTCGATGGTCGATCTGGGGAATGCGTGTGTTTCCTTGGCCCCGAAAGACCGACCGACTGCGGCTGAAGTGCTGTACAGGCTACAGACAATTCAACGTGA